CAGCAGCTCCAAGCCCACGTCTTTTGGGCACGGCCCTAGCCCTGCTCCCTTTTATGCACACAGTGTTTGTCTTTTCCTCTGTTCCCAGACCGAAAGCTTGGAGTGGCTTTACGTTAGTTGGCATATCTCAGTCCCCTCCTCAGAAGGGGCTGTGGTCCCTAAGCCTACCCCGCCTTCCTTCCTGTGTCCCCCTGGGCCAGGATGGCCACAGCTCTCGCTTCGTTTTGGAATAGGTTTTTCCACCCAGTGCTGAAGCAGGTCTGAGGTCCTAGGTGGTTCCAGGGGCAGTGCGGGAGGGTATAATTTGTTCACAAACTTTGAGTATGGCTGTGGGTGAGACACTGAGGCGGGTTCGTTGCAAGGGAGCATTCACTGAATGCACCCGTTAGGACGTCAGCGACTCGGTTTTCCGTAGACATTCTCTGGTTCCTACTAGATGGTCTCATCCCTACGAGGATCTACTCTTGGATGTGAGCCAGGCTGTAGCATGAAGGGGACCTTCTGACACTTCCCCAGGGAGAGGTGCTGGGGGCATGTCCAGGGGACAGGATTTCCTGCAGAGCTCAGCAGACGGCCCCTGCCCCACTCCCCACGTGGTACCCTGCTGGGGTTTGGTCTTTGGTCTGTGTCCTGTGTGTTCGCCATGTCACTGCACATTGCCCGGTACACACCAATGCTGGCTCCTCCCCTCTCTCCTCGGTCTACCCTTGTGCTCCTGATCCACGAGAAACAAACTGTCCTTCCTCAGCTTACCCAAACCTCTCCACCACCCTCCGGTCCAGGTGAACTGAGACTTCTGTTTCACGGGCTCCGGGCCCCTCCAAACCGCCAGTCCCCGTCTCTCTTGCAAGCGCCCTACTTCTTGGAGCCCTCGGCCATCTGGCTTCACACCTTTCCCTGGTCACTACTGTCCTCGAGCTTCTAGCTCAGCCTGCAGCTCCGCTCCTGGCTTTGTGGTTACCCTAGGGAACCTGAACTCCTACTCATACTTTTCATCTCCTATTCTCACAGTTCTCCTTAGGCTGCATCACCCACACACAAGGTACTGACTCCTCGGGTTTTCTTTCCAGGAAGCATCCCCTATTTTTTTTTTTTTAAACTTTTAATGAGACATGTACGCGACTTAATTCAACCTCATAGAGACTTTTAATTACTGGGACCAATGTTTTCTCTGGCCATCGACCCTCTCCAAATTTAATTTCTTTCTAGTCTGACCCAGACTGCATTACCTACCACCGTAACCACTGCCTATAAAACAAAGATATCCACAGTCCTGTTTGCCGACTCTGAAGGAAAAAAAAAAATCTAGGCTTAGTAACATTTCCCCCACCTGGGGCCCGAGGTGGTCTCAATGAGAATGGCCCCCACTGGCCATTTGAATACTTGGCCCCTGGTTACCGGGTTAGTGGAACAGTTTCTGAAGGGTTAGGAGGTGTGGCCTTTCGGGAGTGGGTGTGGTCATGTTGGAGGAGGCGGCACTGGCGTTGGTTTCTGAGGTTCCAAACGATGTCAGCAATTCCTAGCTCTTTTTCTCTCTGCCTTGTGCGTGTGAGTCAAGATGTCAGCCCTCAGCTACCGCTCAAACCCCATGCCTGCCTGTAAGGTGCCATGTCCCCTGCCAGCCATGATGGGCACGGATGAACTTCTATCCCTCTGAAACTGTAGGCCTCAAATAAACCCTCCTGTAAGTTGCTTTGGCTGTGGCGTTTTATCACAGCCTTAGATGCACTCCTAATACAAGCACTCGCCCTGGACCGGGCTGCTCTCTCCTGAAACGATGCATCTGACCACACCCTTCAAGTGGAGATTTAGCATCGCTTGTGGTCTCATGCTGCTCCCCTATGGCACGTCTTCCTCCTCCCACTCGGCTCACGCTCGTTCACCGCCTTTCCACGACACCTGGTCAGGGAGTCACGGGTGGTATTTATTTCCATTTACCGTCTGGGGAAGGCTCGGCAGTAAAACATGTCTGCTCTTGTGTTCTTAGGGAACACCTTCCTTCTTGTGGGTACGGCTCAGTGGCACCTCCCTTCCTGAGGAGCAGGCCTTCCGAGGGCTGGCCAGTCCTGGTGCTCTTCCCAGGTGACATGATTTGGGACTCGGTTCAACCTTTGTGGCGATGCCACTCACGTGTGATGTTTAAAAAAAAATCTTTGCTCAAGCTGGGCGGTGGTGGCACATGCCTTTAATCCCAGCACTCAGGAAGCAAGCAAAGGCAGGTGGTCTGCCTGGTCTACACAGCAAGTTCCAGAACAGCCAAGGCTGTACAGAGAAACCCTATCCGGAAGAAAAATATCATTGCTGAATAGCTGAGTTTGTGGTAAAGAGGCTTTATGACTGAAATAAATGTGTCAGGAGCTGGAGAGGCGGCTTTGTGGGTAAGAGCACTGGCTGCTCTTGCAGAGGACCCAGGTCTGATTCCCAGAGCCCAAGTAGTGTCTCACAATCATCTTCCACTCCAGCTCCACAGCATCTGACTCCCCCTCCTGGTCTATGTGGGCACTGCATGCACACGACACATTCTTACCGGCAAAATGCATACACATATAAAATGAAAATCATATCGCAAAATACATGCGTACACATGACAGAGATTATCTTTCTAAAGTGCGGCTGATGGTGGTTTCTCCTTACACACGTTTGTCCCCCTAACCTAGAATGATTCGCAGCTCGCAGTGGGTGCTCAGTATTATCTTCCTTCTTATCTTCCTTTTAATGAAAGGAGGGAAGGAATGGAGTTCGGTTGTCCAGGACATAGACATCAATGTTACAGTGATGTACTGTGTTGCCATAACTAATCAGGGTAGTATTAATTTTGATTATTGCTTGATTAAATTCTAGGAGAAAGCAAAGTGGCCCAACTTGCATGCAAATCTAGGAAGATTATTACAGTTGGCTTCTTTCCCTATTAATTACGCAGTGAGTCTGAAACAAATATGGAAACAATTTGCAAATATTGGTGCGTGTTAGAGAGAAGGCTCCACTATCTGAACAGAGGCACTGGGGTAATAATTGCTAGTTCTTTTAAGAAGTCTCAAGTTCTCAATGAAAATGGCTATGAGGATATCATGGAGCTGTCTGTATGGAGGCACCAGATAAAGGCCAGTAACGCAGGAAGACTGACTTGGCTTGGACTTGAATTAACATTTGTATCTGCAGTTCTAGAAGCTCACAATATAAGGTATCAAGGGGAGGTGTATTATAATATCATTGTGGTAATAGGCAAGTGTATTTTGCCATACACACATACTGTGGTAGTTGATCTCACTGCCGACATGACAAGATCTAGAATCACCTTGGAGATGGACCTTTGGGCCCGCCTTGTTACAGATATTGAGTTGGGAAGACACACCCACGGTGTGCTGCACCTTTCCCCAGGCCGGGATCCTGGTCTGTGTGAGTGCAGAGGAGCTCAATACCACGGATCACTCGCCCCCTGACTGTGGATGCCCTGTGAGTGGCTGCTTCAGGGTTCCGCCCCTAGTCTTACCTCCCTTCACCCTTGAACTGAGTGGCAGAATAAGCCCTTTGTCTCTTTAGTTGATTTTTTTCAAGGTTCCCCTCCCCTCTTTTTATCATAACAAGACATTTAGACTCATAGCAAACAGAGACAAAACCCCGGAAGTCCTTGGCAAAACCGGGTGAATCAGTGCAATTCCATCTGCCTGTTGTGTGGACGGGGCCGGCAAAGAATAAAAATCAACATCGGAGTATCAGGTCACCCAACATGTTGCCAATTACTTAGTGTCAGCATTGCAACGGCAATTTAGCCCCAAGACTAACATACTGATATAGACTCTGTAATTTCATAGAAGGATTAGTAGAAGTAGAGCTGTCCATGATTCCCACGGGGATTAGTTTCGGTAGTCCCACTGGATACAGAACTTTGGGAGTACTCAAGTCACTTTCTTATATAGGACAGTGTACTAGTATTTACATATAATGTATACACATCCCCTAGTAGACTTTAAATCATTCTCAGATTGCTAATAACATCTAATATAATACAAATACTGTCCAATGTTCTACTGTATCTACAACATTTGCACTGATTTCTACTGTAGTGTTTTTGTGTTGATTAGGTGTATATGTGTATGATTTGGGGGGGGGCTTACACATGCCACAGTGCATATATTGTGGTCAAGAGACAACCTTGAATATCAGTTCTCATACCCCACTTTGTCTGGGACAGGGTCCCTTTGTTGTACATGGCCATGGTAGCTAACTTTGGGGTGGGGTTGGGTTTCCCTGTCCTCCTGCTGTAGGGACACAGGGATTAGCCATTGTGTCTGGTTTTTACATGGATCCTGGAGACTCATACTCAGATCACACTTGTGTGGCATGTGTCTTTACCAGAGCTAGCTCCTTAATGTCATTGCTGTTGATTCTTTCCCAAATATTTTCCATCTGTGGTTGGCTGAATCTATAGATGTGAACCCAGAGACACAGAAAGCCGACGTGGTTTCAAGCAGTCTCAAGTATGATAATACGCGTGCGTGCATGTGTGGATGCGTGTGTGCGTGCGCGCGTGCACGTGAGTGTGTGCATACGTGCGTTTGCATGTGTGTGCTCGCATGCGCCATCCTTTGGATGTTACATATTCCCCTGCACGTAGAGAATGGCTGCTATGAAGCTATGAAGCCTGCATACCCACTCACAGCCATATCAGGAATGTCTGCAACTATTGATCCCTTAGGCATACTTCATCTCTGCATTTGTTTGTTTGTTCGTCTGCCACTCTGCAGTGTCTGCTTACTACCCCAGTCTTGAGATGAAATGCTCTGGCAGGGAGCAGATGTACCAATTAATAACCTGTCAGGTCTGATGGATAGAGAAGGGGGGACGTGTCCTAACGCGCATCTCCGGCGTGGCTTTCTTCCCCGATTCAGGGTGCCGCGCAGGTCACGAGACACATGCTGCCTCCCCAGGGAGGGTCCAAACTGTCTCATTAGCGTCTGTCTTTTGTGACACTGTGATGCGCCTTTGAAAGGCTGACTCACCTGCTCTTCTCCAAGAATCCTGAAGTGATGGAGCTCTTTAATCAAGGAGTTGGGACAGCCAGCTGTGGAAGAGGAGAATTAATCACAAAAGTGTCACCGTCACTCTGTGCGGTAGATCCTTTCTTGTATACTGTTACGACTGCCAACAGCTGATGCTGATGTTGACAAAGACACAAAAATACAGCTGAAAACACGCGTCTCCCTGAGCACGAAGGGGCCAGACCTTCAAAGCAGCGCAGGCCATTGCTTGGGCTCAGACTGTCACCCTTTAGGAAAAGCCTGTATGTGACTCCAGCCAGACCCCTGGAATGAAGATTATGACCTGGCCTTAGGATGGCATGGTCTTCTGGCACTTATAAACGTGCCCTGATACAAAGCTAGGAGTCTGTGGGGCTGGAAGGGGAGAGCTAGTGATGTAGGTTCTCACATGTCTACCAGGTGGTGTTTTTTGGCCACCAGGGCCAGGATTCTACTGGTTAAGGCTTCAAAATGGAGGTAAGATGGCTGGGCATCCTGTCTTCACAGGATTTGCTCGAGTTTAAGAGATTGCCCTTAATCCCAGAACTTGGGAGGCAGAGACAGATGGATCTCTGTGAGTTCAAGGCCAGCGTGGTCTATAGCATGAGTTCCAGGACAGACTCCAAAGCTACAGAGAGAAGCCCTGTCTTGCAAAACACAACAAAACAAGACAACAACAAAAATAAAAACAAATTAAAAAGAAAAGAAGAAGGAGACTGGTATTACTTCCTAGCTCTTCAAGTCATAAAATGAAAATAAATAAATTATATACTCATGCTTACGTTTATAGATGCACACATTTGTAGATGTTTAGTATCAGCTAAAACATGCTCTGTCCCTACCTCCTTGGTGGAGTTATTCCACAGTGTTAGGCTGTAGTCATTCATAATATTTACTCCAGAAACAAAATTGATATTAAAAACCTGCTCCTCTGAGATAAGACCCACGGACTGCATAAATTCATTGACATTTCCATTAAGGGAACTGGATCATATGCAGAACACATCAGAGAAGCGCTGAGCCAATTCCCCTTCACTCGGCACCAGGTGGTTAGAAAGGGGGGAGGGACTGAGCGGGCTTTCTGGGTGAGGGCAGGTTAAGAAAGGAAAATACGTCCCTTTGCATAGGTGAAAATCATCCTTTGCACGAGTGCTGTTGGAAGTTAGAACTGAGTTACAGTGTGGACTAGCGATGAGAGGTGCTCACATAGGGCTGGATATTGACAGGGGATTTTTTACAGGGAATTAGGTGTAATGATAACTGTGCCAACTTGACTGGCCAATGCGACACCTGGAGAGGAGGCAAGACACAATGTTTCTACCATTTTAGCTGGTGCCCTCATCTATGTCAGTGAGCATCACACACTCCGTCCAGGACAGTGAGAATAAGTAGCAGGCAGGGGAAGGATGCAGGGAAGGATGCAGGGGAAGGATGCAGGGGAAGGATGCAGGGGAAGGAATTAGGAGTAGGATGTAGGGGAAGGATACAGGGAAGGATGCAGGGGAAGGATGCAGGGAAGGATGCAGGGGAAGGATGCAGGGGAAGGATGCAGGGAAGGATGCAGGGGAAGGATGCAGGAGTAGGATGTAGGGGAAGGATACAGGGAAGGATGCAGGGGAAGGATGCAGGGAAGGATGCAGGGGAAGAATGCAGGGAAGGATGCAGGGGAAGGATGCAGGGGAAGGATGCAGGGAAGGATGCAGGGGAAGGATGCAGGAGTAGGATGTAGGGGAAGGATACAGGGAAGGATGCAGGGGAAGGATGCAGGGAAGGATGCAGGGGAAGAATGCAGGGAAGGATGCAGGGGAAGGATGCAGGGGAAGGATGCAGGGGAAGGATGCTGGGGAAGGATGCAGGAGTAGGATGTAGGGGAAGGATGCAGGGAAGGATGAAGGGGAAGGATTCAGGGGAAGGATGTAGGGGAGGGATACAGGGAAGGATGAATGAAGCCTTTTGGATCAGGATGTGTACTTTTTATTGCCCTCATACCACAGAGCCCCTGGTCTTTAGCCCTCTGACCTAGTGCTTGGATCAGCACCCTACTCCTTTAATCGTATGTTCTCAAGGTCAATTACCACACCCTCCTGGTTCTCTGGCTTGAGAGGGCAGGTTGAGATTTCTCGGCTCCCGTACCCATGTACACCAATTCCAAAATATCCCTTCCTGATTGTTTTTGTGATGACCAGTCTTCGTTGTCAACTTAACCGAATCTTAAATTAGCTATGACAAAAGCCACTGGGGAATTCTGTGAGGGATTTTCTCCATCAGGTTATCTGGAGCAGCAGGGCCTGCTGTAAATGTGAAGAGCACCTTCTAGTCACAGGTCAGGTACAAGGACATGGTCACAGGGGGCTTTTGATCTTTGCCTGCTTGCCCTCACTCTCACTGGCATGCCCATCTACCCTGCGGCTGCTGCATGCCTTCACTGTCCTTAGAATCCACTTCTTCACATTTCCGGTGTGGACTAAAGATCACTCACACCGGAAATGCTGAGACACCAGCCTCATGGATGGAGCAAACCCTAGGTTCTTAGCCTCTCCAGTGTGGGACGTCATGACCATTAAGTGTGTGTGTGTGTGTGAGTGTGTGTGTGAGTGTGTGAGTGTGTGTGTGAGTGTGTGAGTGTGTGTGAGTGTGTGTAAGTGTGTGTGAGTGTGTGTGAGTGTGTGTGAGTGTGTGTGATTGTGTGTGTGTGTGTGAGTGTGTGTGAGTGTGTGTGTGTGTGAGTGTGTGTGTGTGTGTGTGTGTGTGTTCAATATATCAGTTCTGTCGTCATACATATATCCTTACTGGTTCTTTTTTTTCTGAGACCCCTGAGTGACACACTCGGGTCAGCTGCAATTTTGAAATTGAAATTCTGCGGCCGTGGTAAACACTGTAACACATTTTAGTCTTGGATGTTACACAGCACCTCATAATGAGAAGGTGGTTTGTAAGAGTCACTGAGGGCATACGGGTGGTTTTTAGTGTGGTTTAATAAGTGGAAGTCCTGATGCACATATTTTGGTGTCAAACATGAAAAAATTAGTTGCCCCAGTCAACTAAGGAGGTTTGGGTCCTTGAAGTGACAGCTGAGTAGGCCTCTAGCTGGAGCCTCGCCAGCGAGGAAGGCGCTGCCTGAGAGGTTTGCTCATTTCCGGGTTGCTGTCCTGATGAGTATCTAAAGAATTCGTGAAGGTGGGTTTGTCATTTGACTGGCGAGAAGGGCTATGGAAATTCATTCAGCCACATGCCAGTCTTCCTACGTTAGCCCTCTTCAGGGGCAAGGAGTGATAGTTTAGTTTTCGGAAATTACGCTGTGAAGAGTACGGGTGGGTAGAACGCGGGACATGCGTTGTTGTTCAGGGCCTCTGCTGAAGGAAGGATAACTGCCTGAGGCAGTGGCTTCTGCCCTTGATGCCCTGGCCCTTCAATACAGTTCCTCACGTTGTGCTGACCCCCAGACTTAAAACTATTGTTGCTGCTACTTCATAAGTGTAATTTTGCTACTGTTATGAATCGCAATGTAAATATTTGTGGTTTTAGATGGCCTTAACTGACCCCTGTGAAAGGGTCATTTGATATCCCCCCCCCAAGGGTTGCAAACCACAGGTTAAGAACCACTGGCCAAAAGGAAAAGAGCCGATAAACGGCCAGTCCAGGCTGGCAGGCAGAGATGGAGGGCCAGTTACTCAGGACCCTGTTCAGGGTCAGTAAAACAGCAGTGGCTGCCACATTAAATTAATAGCTTGCTTGTTCTGGTCTGACATATTAATATTTAATTTACAAGTTTGTATTTGGGCCTTTTAGTTACTCAAGCATAAGATATTTATATCTCGGTATATATTTTAAAAACACATTACCATAAAAATTATCTGTCGAATCTGAAAGTTTTGGAGTCCCTTTTCTCCTTTTTCGGTGGTTGTTGACATGACTCGAAATCGAGACGAGAAATGGTCTCAACTTATTTTTTTTTTTTTATGTCAGAGAAAACAAGAAGCAGAATTTGCAATTAGCTCGTCTCTAGAATTCATATTCCGGTACACCCTCTTAAGACGTGAGTAATGGATTGATGTCAGTGATAGTCAGAAGACGACACGATTACCTCCAGCACCTGCCAGGTACCACAAACTAACAAACAAGGATGGGTATGGCATATATTAAGGGGAAGCCAGAGTCAAGGTATTTGAGACGGGCACGGGCCCAACGTGGGGACGTGAATATGGGAAGGGACAGACACGGATGTAGTGTAAGATGGAGCTTAAAACCCACAAAACTGGAAAGGCCCGGCAGGTGCATGGAATGTGTCAGGGCAGGGAGCATGTGAAATTTGTCGGATGGAATTGTGTCAAGTTCTAACTGAAACAGAAGGAAGTTTTGAAGGACACGATGCATGCCCGGCAGCGAGAAATGCTCACGAAGACTCCAGCGCACTTGTGTGATCTTACACGAGGCCGCCATGAGCCTGCAAAGAATGACTTGCGCAGCTGCCTGCCCAAGCGGGGACTGTGTGAGCAAGGGTTAGCATCCGCTGTGAGTCTCTCCATTGTGCCTTTCCCTCACCCCGATCTCTTCTAATAGGTTCATTAGTGATGGCGTTTGTGTTCCTACTGAAACACTCTGCTGTTCCCAAATAAACTCATTAACGTCGGGGCATTCCCCCCTGCATGTAACTTCAGGTTAATGGGAGACAGGAAAATGGGAGGGAGTAGAAGGGGGGGGGGAGATGTGGCTCTCGTCACGACTGCCATTCTCCCAACTGTCCCCTCTCAGCTCCAAGGAGCTCCTCCCCTTTTCCCTCTCTTCCATTTCTTCTGGGTTTGTTTAACTGTATATTTAAATATTCCTCCTGTTTGAGTGCATGTAAAAGAAAGCAAGATAGTTTGCAAACATCAGATTAAAAAAAAAAAAAAAAAACGAAAAACAAAACCAAACAAGCAAGCACCATTATTGCTAATGCCATTGGCAGTGTTCCGCATCTAATGCCACTGAACTTGGAACATTTTCTTCCTTCAAAAGAGAAGCAGCCATTGAAACAATCACCGCACCCACTCTCATGCCAGGA